AGTAAAAATAGCCTAAAAACTATAAAACTTAGAAATCTAAAAAAAATCTAATAAACTATAAGTTACTAGTATATAAATACTACTAGAAGTACCTAAAGAAGTAAGAGGTAAACTCTTAGAGAAAAGAAAGGAATAATTAAAAGAAGGATTAAAAGAATTAGTCTATAACTAGTCTAGATTAGCTAATAGTTTAGATAGTAGTAGTTTAAAAATAGGAAGGCCTATACCTCTAGAGGTAGAACTCTTCTTAGCCTACTCTTTTACGTAATCTTAGAGACTTAGAATTATATAATTTTAATTAGTAAACATACGCTCTTATATCTTAATCTCTAAAAGCTTTAGCTCTTATTATAATAGTTAAGTATCTAGTTAAGTACGCTATACTTTTAAATAAGCGATTTTAAGATATTTCTAACGNTTCACTAACTCTACTTTCTTCTACTTTTCCCTAGAAATAAATAAACTATATTCTACTTTTATAGAAATATAACTAGCGTAGTATCTAGTAGTAGTATCTATAAAATAAAAAAGTTCTTCTTTTTATAACGTTTATAATAGAAGATTATTTTATTTCTCTACTATTAAATATAGTTAGTATAAGCTTAGCGCTATTAATTTAAGTTCTTAGAATAAATATAATAGAAAGACTAGATCTTAAATATAGTTAGGAAGGTAATAAAGTAGAGATAGCTATAATAAGTAGATAGACTCTAACTTTATATATACCTAGCGTCTTAATATATAATATAGAAAAATAATATTCTAAAGTATTAGAATAATAGTCTTAAGAGAGAAAGTAATATTATAGGTAATAAGAAGAATTCTCTTCTTAATAAGTAATAAGATAGCTAAAGGCCTAGAGACGCCTACGTTAGAAAGTAATAATTATCGTAGGGTAGTAATTACGTAACTTAGCCTCCCACTAAGAGCTAGCTTTCTACTAAGAGAGAGATACTATAAGAATATAGAATACTATATCCTCCTAAACCTTCTATAGAAGAATACTTCTAAAAGATACTAGAGAGAATAGAACTAGAAGTAATAAGAATATAAGGATAGATAGATTTTATTATTTACTCTTATTATAGTTAACTTAAATTATNAACTATTAGAATAAGCTACCTCTCTATTAGTAGTTAAGCCCACTCAGGAGACCATGTCCCTGGACTCCCTCGAGCTGATCGAGCTCTTGTTGCAACAGAATCGGACATCCTTCGAAAAAGAGCGCCGCTCTCTCCTAGATAAGTACTAGATAGAGAACGGACTACTACTCTATTCGAACCGTCTCTACGTGCAACTAGACTCCCCCGCCTACACTCGATTAATCCAAGAGGCCCATAATCAGGTCTTATTAGCCCACCCGAGTGTAAAGAAGACTTATTAGCTACTATCTTAGAAGTACTACTAGAAAGGTATAGAAGCTACCTATAAGAGGTATGTACGGAACTACCTCACCTGCCGTAAGGCCCATCCGAGATAGACCTGAGTCTCTAGACTAATTCACCCCCTCCCTATTCCTGATCGGCCAATGCAACACCTCTGCATTGACTTTAAGGAATTTCCTAAGAACAAGGCTGAATACGATTAGATTATAGTCGTGATTAACTAGTTGTCTAAACAGGCCATCTCTATCCCGTATTATAAGACTATCAACGTAAGGGGTATAGCTAAACTCTTTATCTAGTAGGTGTACCGATTCGGACACACCCTAGAGACCATTATCTCTAATCGAGGACTACAGTTTGTGTCCAGTTTCTGGTCCGAGTTCTGTCGGATCCTAGGCGTTAAAGTTAAGCTATCTACTACCTACTATAAAGAAACTAATAGTTAGACAGAGATTATGAATAAATACATTGATCAGAGACTGCGCCCGTTCGTATCCTACTATCAGGACAACTGGAGCGGACTGCTGCCTCTGATCGATCGCGCCTAGATTTCCCTACCTCACTCTTCTATCAGTATGTCCCCGTATTAGATCCTTTATAGATCTAAACCTAAGTAGAGCTGGGACTAGAAGCACCTAACTAGCATCCTCACGCCTACAGATAAACTTAACTATAAGGATGCCCTGGCGCTTGCCACCCATATGTATGCCGCATGGGATACCGCTAAGCAGCAAATAGAGAAGGCATAGGACTGGATGCGATCCGCCGTCAATCGCTATCGTCGCCCTATCGATTAGAACATCGGCGATATAGTGTTCTTAGATATCAAGAACCTCGCGATCGATCGTCCGAGCCGGAAGCTGGCTGCAAAATAGGAAGAACCCTTTAAGGTTCTTAAGAAGGTTGGCTATTCTTACTAGCTCTAACTGCTGGTAGGATCCCGAATCTACGACGTCTTTGCTCCGGACCTGTTGTGTAAGGACCCTCAAGATCCTCTCCCAGGACAAGAAGCTCCTAAGCCCCCTAGCGTACCTATCCAAGGCGTAGAAGAATAGGAAGTAGACTAGATCCTTGCTAGTAAGTTATATCGTTCCAAGCTGAAATACCGGGTAAGCTAGATCGGACATAATCCGGACATAATCCGGACCCTACCTGGTACCCTGCCTCTAACTTTATGGGAGCTCCCTACAAACTCAGAGAGTTCCATNAACAAAATCCCTCTAAGCCGGGACCCCCTTAGGCCCTTAGCCCGTGGATTCAAGCGTGGGAGAAAGGTATAGATGACATGACTCTACTANATAGTTATATATTAGTTTATTAAATAGATTAGTATTATTAAACCCTTAGTTATATCTATAACTCTTTTCTAGTAAGAATCGCTAGGCAACTCTTATAGCGCTAATCCTAATTCTACTCGCCCTAACCCGGATCGAGCTAGAGAAGTATTAGCACTCTAGACCCCGTGTAATAGAGAGTTAGCTTCTAGTATTTAGTATCTAAGTAAGTATGTAGCTATAACTTAATAACGCTCTACTTATAGCTCTTATATATAAAAATCTCTCTAAATAGATCTATAGTAGTAAGTAATTATAGTATAAGCCATACTATTATTAATATAAACTATACTATTACTACTATATAGTAGTAAACTAATTACTATTTATATTTTTATTTATTTTAGTTACTCTACTAATATAACCTTAGTTATATAATATTACTCTAGTGTGCCTAAAACTCTAATTCTAAGGTTAGAGTTAACTTAGAGTTAAGCTATAACTCTACTCTACTCTAGCGTATAAGCTATATTAGTAAATACTAACTTTTTATTATATTCTATTAAATATCTTACGCTATAGTTATTATGTAGTTATAAAAAGTAATTTATTAAATTAGTATAGATTTTCTATATCTATAATAGAAGTTATATTAATTTTAGACGCTTTTCTAACCTTAATTCTAGAGCCTATATAAACCTGCAGGATTAAGGTCTACAAACTTACTAAGTAATCTAGAATTAAGGTCGATTTTAACCTTAATCCTGTTTGTAACGATGTTACAGCCTCGCTAAGTATCGGACCAATCCCAGAGCCGGATCGGAGGAAGTATCAGCCGCCCCTTCATCAGCTACTCGTTTCTCAGTCGGATCCGATTCGGACCCGACTAGGATAGGTATATATGGAGACACTTTCTGTAGCTAGCTCTGCAGACTTTTGATATCCTTTTCGTACAAGGCCTATAGGTGTCTATTCGAATCAAGGCTCGTTTGATGTCCTACGCACTCCCATATGCCTCTGAGTGACACTCCCGCCGGTACTAATCCGAGTAGTCTTGCCTGCGCCGTTACACTGTTAGGGATTAGAGATAGGATTAAGGTCCGCAAACTCGCCAAGTAATCTAGGATTAAGGTCGATTTTAATCTTAATCCTGTTAGGGATTGGGGATAGAGTATATATAGCCTTTTAGGCTCTAGTATACTAAGAAGTAAAATAGATAAAAAGATAGTTACTAATAGTCTATTATCTAAACTATAGTATATATACTATTACTAAGTTATTTATCTTATATAGAGTTAGTAAGAAATTATTAATAATAATATAATATATCTCTTTCTATAGAGATTTTTTCTTTATTAACTTAAGACTATAAGTCTTATAAGAGAATTAAGAGAATACTTTAACTTACTTAATACTCTTTAGGTACTTACTAGTATAAAACCTTTATAAGATATATTTCTACTACTCTACTAATATATAATATAGCTATCTATAAGCTTTATCTTAATTTTTCTTTATAATACTAACTAGTTTATACTATAGTTCTAGTTTATACTTATAGATATACTACTTTAGATCTATTACTCTATACTTATATTTATATTTAAAAGAAGTCTAATATAATAGACTTTTATAGACTAAGTTCTAAAGTATATTAAGATATTATCTATAAAGAAAGTAGACTAGAATATATATTATAGTACGCTAGAGGACTATTTATACTAGGTAAGAGTAGTAGCCTTCTTACTAGATAAGTAGCTAGTTATATTAGTATCTAACAACGAGATAGTATAGCTATAGAAAGTGGCGATAGATACGTACTATAGCACTCTAGAAGGCTATTCTAGTTTTATTAAGTTAGTAATCTTCTCGCTAGATAGGTAGCTAGTTATATTAGTATCTACTAATAAGATAGTACGACTATAGAATATACTAGTAAGGACTTATTATAGTATACTAGAGCGCTATTTAGCTATAGTTATAGTAGTTACCTTCTCGCTAGATAGATAGCTAGTTACGTTAGCGTCTAATAATAAGATAGTATAACTACATAAGTTAATAATAGAGATATATTACTATACTCTAAATAGCTCTTTTAAATTCTCTATATATATAAATTTCTTATTAAATAGCTAAGTACTTTATATAAATAAAGAAGATTTCTTTTTACCTTAAACTTTAGTTATTATATTACTTTTTAGGTTATAGTAGTTATCTTTATATACTATAGTATTGGATTAGTAGATATTATATAATAGGTAATATCTTCTATAGCTCTTACTAGAATATTAATTAGAGAAGATTAAAGTACGTAAGAATATAGTTTATCTATAACTTATGTCTAGTTATATAGTTTTAATTCGAATCTTCTAGTATAATATATTAATATAACTACTTTAGTATAAGTATAATAATTACTTTATAGCGTAGTATATATTATTAATATATAATATAAGTCTTATTATTAGTAATTTTCTTTAAAAATAACCTTCACTTTAGATTTTATACGCTTAGACTATCTACTAGAGCTAAGCTATAGCTATAATAGCCGCTATTAATAGAATATATAAAGATAATCATATAAAATATATAAGGTAGCTTAGCGTAAGCTAAGATACTTATTATAACTATAATCTTATATAAATATAGACGTTATAGGCGCTATAAGGCTAGACGTAACTTACTTAACTATTATAAGGTTTTTTAAATATAATCTTAATCTTCTAGAGTTTCTTAAACCCTAGAAGCTTCTATATAGCGCTATAGTAAAGTAATACTATTATATATAGAAGAATAGTCTACTATAACTTATATAAGAAGAGTAGTAATAGTAATATATTTTTTATTTCGATATATAAAATATATTAATAGATAGCTCTAAGACATAAATATTATAAATTTTTTAAGATTTTTAGCGAGCGCGCAGAAAGCGAAGTGTTGAAAGCCAAAGTACCCCTCATTTGTCCCAGCATGGCGGGTGTCCCAGCACTCAGGGAGGGACGTTATGTGCAGCATCGCGAACACTAGCAGACATCCACATATCACTGAACATGTACCTATTGCAGGTCGCGATCAGTGCCCCTCTCGTGCAGTATAGACGTTGAGGAAGACTGTAGTCAGTCCAGCTAAGGGATTTAGAAACCCTGGGCTTTCATCCGTCAGCGAAATTGGGACAATTGTTGTATGCAAATTGATCTAACTAGTCGCAATATACAGAAATAGCTTATCGGCTAGCTATAAGTAGTGTCTCTGACGCTGGTGCTAAAGCCAGCCTATTCCAGCTGTTCCCAGAATAAAGAAGAGGGCCGCCACTGTAAGAAGGGGGATATTCTGGATCGTGCGCTGAACTACTCTTCCTAGCACGCTGCTATTTAGCGATGAAGTATTCTGAAGAGAGGTAAAGGTGCCAGGAAATACAACAAACCCAGCCAGCAATGTCCACAAGAAAATAGTAGCTAATATATTAAATATTTCTAGAGTTTTATACAACTAGACTATAAGTTTATTAAAATTAGAGTTATCTCTGATCTTTTTAGTCTCAGCGTTCTGAGTAGCAGGACTAGTTGTATTCTTCCGGTTCATGATCAAATATAGGTTAAGCCTAGAGTATGGCGGGGATAGAATTCTATAGTTCCCTTACTTACATAGTAGTAGGCAGTAACTTAAGAATCTGAATAATTAGTCATAGCCCAAAACAACCGTGTTAGCGTCCAGAACTGGCCTAATAACGGCGCCTCAGATTTTATGCATACAATAGTGCTTAGCTAACTATCTGCGGTATTCGTTAGGTCGCAAACGGGCGACAAAATCATTTTAAATCTGATAGGATAGAATAAGAACCAATTGGCGACTGAATTTGTTCTTCTATCATATATAGTTGCCAGCGATTGCGGCTCCGCCCCTGCACGTAGCTGCTTAACGGTATTGAACTGTCTCATCCAATGTATATGGCTTAGCGCTGGATGTCTGCTGGAGATTGGCCGATGTTATTGGTCAATCATCGATCCAGCGATGATCAATTTGTTATAATGCTCCACGCGGAGGTGAAGCCGCAATCGTTAACGATTGTACATACGAACTAGAAGAATCCTAATAAACACGCAAAAAAGGTAAGCTTTCAGCCTATAAGCGCTTCTTTTCCTTCCTAGCCTATTAAATACTATTCTACACTTTCTCTCTAGTATCCTAAAGTGGTTGCCTTGCAACACGATATTATCCTAAAAAGCTTTAATTATTTAACGAACGACTCTTTACTAAAAGTATACAAACTCTACGGTAAGTTATTTTAACCTTTATTTTTTATAACATTATACTCGCACTTATGCTAGAGAAAAAATTTATAATTACTTTTATAGCTAAGTCTTAAGCCTTATTTAAGAATAAAGTAAGTAATTTTAGGATTTTGGGAAGCTAAGATAAAATGCCTAATTCTTTGAGCTGCAGGCTTTATTTGTTCGCTTAAACAGGCTTATGTCAGTCGTGCTTTCTAATAGCCCAAGGGATACAGATAGCGTGAGACACGCTCATTTTGACTCTGTATATATTATTAAAGTAAAAATTCTGGAGGGGAAACATTTTGAGAACAAGCATTCTCCATCGTCCTGGGATACTTCAAGCCTGGTCAGAACTCTAGCCTGAGGTCCTATAATCCGTCAAGAACTCTCAGCTTCCGCATCCAGCTCTATTGGCCACCAGGGCAATGCTAGCTTCCTGTGTCTAGAACCTGCCGGTTCGCCCCCATGTCAGCTTCCGCCTAACAGACATTATTTTCCAGGACTTAGTTTTAGATCAATAAGCGTATACATAGAAAGCATCTCTTATTTACAACTTTATCTCATAATCCTTTACATACATTGAGAATCCAAAACAAAATAACAACTTTCAAAACACTGTGGAAATTAAATCTATGACTTTACTTGCGACTATACTTACCCCTCACATAGCTTCTCTGGTTAATCTAGAGAGTTTAAATACTTCTCAAGCACTAGTTAAGCGCGTGCCACAAGAGTATCCTAATTGCGGTAGATGTAGCAAAGCGGAAGCTCAAATGTGCCTTGAACTGTGTTTGATTGGTCATCATGACGGGGTAAGTGTTACTATTTATTCTCTAGCTACATCCAATTTGATTTCTACATTATAACGATTTCTAATCGTCTATAGATATGCACTCACGTTATTGTTAGAGGTGTATGTAACTATGCATTATGCGTATTTCTTTTAACTCTATTACTATGTTATAGTAAACAGAAAGCTAAACGTTGTTTACAGGTTTTTCAAGAGTCAGGAAAGACATCTTTAAGAAAGATAGATTAGAAGTCTAATTGCTATAAGGGGAGCTTCTCGATCGTGTATCAGCACAATTAGACCACTTAGGGATTCAAATATACGAGTGTAGTATCTTACCTATAGATATTATAAGTCATAATAGTTACTATACTGAATAAGATTACTACATCTTTGTTGATCAGATGAGATTAAGATTCTCTAAACTGTTACCCCCCTTGTATGGAGCACGCTAATCTACTATATCGCTAGCTAACTCCTCTATAACACTATAAATGGCTACGCTCTGAAGACTAATCGTAAGCTATATCAAATATTATATTCGAAAGAGAGATAACTATTTCAGCAAATTATAGAACCTTCTATGACATAAACGTGACTCGAAAGGCTAGAGCTAAAAGGAAGGCATGGCTAGATTTCTTCTAATTGTTATAGAACTCGCAGGGGGGGGGGGGGGGGCTCGGTGGTCTACTTTGCGACAGAGTAGTTGAAGAACGAGCGCAGGCATTGGACAGAGCGGAAGGAGCGGGCGCTAAGAACAGATGGAGCGCGGTCGACCTCCCGAGACCTTAGCGCGACATAGAGATCGCGCCACTTGGAGAAGGAAAAGGACGATTAAGTGTGCAGAGTGTACAGCCTATAGCGAGCTAATATAACTTGCCATCACGGCTCGTATTATGTACTTCATTAACGACCACCGGCTTACTTGAAATCATAGTCCATGTGCCTGTTGCAATAGTTTTGAGGTATCGTGCACATACTCATGCCCTTTGCTTAGACCCTTTTTAGGATGAATATAGTGCCCAAACGCGTGCGGCATTCCTCGGTAACACTTCTGGGTTACAAGATTTCCACTGTCTGCCAGCAGCTCACCATATTGATGCGCTTCATCTCTACATATATCAAACTCAGCAGTTATGATATGCGTTGGCGGCAGTCTTTCAAAGGACTGGGCCAGGATCGGTGAAGCCATCCAGTCATCACATGCAGCTCTTCTGATATCTATCTTGTATCAGGGAGGCTTGGTAATTATGAGAGCACAACGGCAACATACCGGTCGGAATCCAGTAATTCAAGAACCACTGCTCTCTTTTCAGGCCTCCCCAAGGTGCATCTTTGTATTGCGCTGTACTGGGATAACGCTTGGCAATCACTGAACGCAAGGGTTGTTCAGCAATGAGCCATCTGAAGTCAGTCGAAGGCACAACTAGCAATGCTAGTTTGAGTTCTAGTCCCGCATCGCGCGCCATGTGCGAAAGAACTGCCGACATGTGACCACCTGCCGAGAGACCGCCGATCGAAACACTAGTGGCATCGATATTCAAATCCTCAGCATGAGATAGAACCCATTGGAGTGCATCCCATGAGTCATAGATGGCTGTAGGGAAAACGAATTCTGGGGCGAGGCGGTAATCAACGTCGACAATGACGATGCCAGTGTTATTACAGACACTTCTACACCAGGCTGCTTCGCTATTAAGACCACCCAGAATCCATCCGCCTGGCTCGATATCAGAATGTTGAATCGTCAATGATAATTACTCTTACCTCCATGATAGTTAACATGTACAGGAAAAGTACCCTGTCCTTCTGGCGTATACACGCGCACTTTGATATGACCAGCAGGTCGGCTAACGGGTATATCAAACTCTTTCTCCTTGAAAACAGGAGGGCCAGTTAATTGTTAGCAAATGAATCATTCGGGTAGCCGTGTCTTGCTTACCTGACCATGTTGGATATGTAAAGCTATATGCGAGTGGCTTCCGGCGCACTTTTTCAATTGGTACTTCTTCGGCTTGACGGTGGTGCCCTCCATATGCGTTCCAGATGCGAACCCATTCCGGATCGAGTCTTACAAGCCACTCTTCTGGAGTTTGGTAACCTTTGCTTAACTGGTGGTCTGCTACTGACGGTATCTTTACGGTCATGCTTCTTGATATGGTGTTCCACACAGGTTAAGTAACTGTGTGGAATCAAAAGAAACTCCTTCTTATATAGCCAAACTTCCTGGGGACAAATGTTTGAATCATATTGCCAGCTATTTCTATTATGCCACCCTAACAGGATGATGAACACGGTCGTCATCTCAGATCTGTCCATTACTCGCGCATCGGATCTGATAGGAATGCCAAGCCGGGAGACTGTGCGCACCTATCAGCACACTGGGCCAACGATAAGAGTCCACAAATCCTTCCGAATGGAAGCCTACCCAGATCATCGAAAAGATTACGAAACTCGAATTGCCAAGCATATGAAAATACGGAAATATTGACGGGAAAGTCGACGGGAAAATGACCGAATCCTGGGATCCACCGTGTAGTGGTTATCGTGCAGAGTGACCAACATGCACAGCTAAGCCAACATGAAATCTTGTCTTATGCTTTTAAAAGATAGAGACCAGTAGACATCCTAGGCATAAAACCCACCAAACAAGCAGCGCCTCTCGGATATAGACACGTCAGGCCCGTAGAGCTCTATCGCCTAGAGCAGAGAACAACAAAACATGCAAGACTCGATAGTCATTGTTGGGTAAGTTACTCTCACAATGTTTATACCTTTTGCATACTGAATCAATATAGATCCGGGGTGATAGGGCTGGATGTTGCTCTCATCCTCGCAGAGAAAGGATATGGGCATCGCACAACAATCGTCGCGACACATCTGCCAGGAGATACCTCCATCAACTATACATCGCCATGGTACAATAACAACTGCCTGAAAGCTCTGCTCATGACACAAATCTTACTTGAACAGGGCCGGCGCAAATTTTTCAGCAATATCTGGAAGCGATGCGAATGCTCTTATCTGGGATAAGACCGGATATAAACGGCTCATGAAGCTTGCAGATACTCATGGATCAGTCGCTGCTATCAGCAAGGCGCAATCACTCGAGTTTTGGGATGAAAAGCCAGCTGAGCAGAAGTTGAAGTCCCTTGCGGGCTACTTGGAAGATGTCAGTATATTGTCAAACATCATTACTCTACTGACACGCCCAAAAGTTTACAGTACTACCTTCACACAAGCTTTTACCCGGGGTGAAGTACGGCATCTCCTTTACTACAGTGACCATGAATGCTCCCAAACATATCCAATATCTCAAGCACCAGCTCGAAGCGCACGGAGTCAGGTTTCTCCGGCGTGACCTAGATCATCTAGATTCTGCTTTCCTGAGCAAAAGGACAAAGATTATATTCAACTGCACCGGAAACGGAGCGCGGAATCTTCCCGGTGTCGAGGACGAGAGATGTTTTCCTGTCCGAGGTCAGATTCTGCTCGTGCGAGCACCGCAAATCAATCAAAATATCATGCGCCATGGCAAAGATTATGAGACGTATATCATTCCCAGGCCTTTTTCAAATGGCAACGTGGTTCTTGGAGGATTCATGCAAAAGGGAAACGAGTAAGTGCACATAACTCATTTCGTGCAAGTAGGGTGCGTACTCAACTTACATAGCACTGGTGATACTTTTGCCCATGAGGCGGATTCTATCTGGACACGGACAACGACACTAGAGCCATCATTGGATGTGTCGCAAACAGAGATCCTGGCATCCTTTGCAGGTCTCAGACCCGGGAGACTAGGAGGCGCACGTATTGAGAAAGAAGCGTGGTCTGATGGTCGTCTCGTTGTGCATAATTATGGAGCGGGCGGAACGGGTTACCAGGCTGGCCTAGGTATGGCAACGGAAGCAGTAGAATTAGCCCTTCCTTTTTTGGAAAATTCGATAGACGGGCTAAATGGGTTTGAACAAGGGAAGTTGTAGAGTTGGGATCATTTTTCTGCACATTATAAGAACCGTGGAAAGAATCTTTTTAGGGGATAAGAGGGCTACATCAAGTTAATAGCTCCAAAGCACCCTTGCGCTTCTGATACCATGGTTTTTGTCGTGCCCAATAAATGAATTACTCAGAAGCATCACGATAAAGCCTAAGTAGTCATGGATATGTTACGCAAGTATACGGCTTTATATAGAAAATTCTTAATACTATATCGTTTCTCATTGAACTCCCATCAAACCCTGTATATCGAAAGAAAAACGCTCGACTAATAGCATTATACAAATCGCTTTGAGCTTTTCTCCCCTTTTCAGCTACGCACCCTCTATCTCGAGCAGTTTCCATGCCACAGCCTCACCGGGCCCTGATGCTAGACTGTGATTGGCGGTATTCGCGGGTAGTAGCGCTATCGGCCCCGATCGGACCCACTCCGCTCAGCACAAATCACCGGGGTCCTTTGAACCCAAAGTTGCGGGATGTTGCGGGGTGAGCGATAGCGGCAGCTGTTAGCTATCATCATTACGGAAAATGGAAGGATATACAAAGCGTTGATGGACGCAGGGGCATAGGTAGCCAGAATTATCGTTGCATTACCTACTACTTGTTGTTTTCCCTGCTTGACTTCGCTCATCTCTTTGGCGTCTATGTCTGTTTGAGTGTGTGTGCGTGCATCTCAACACGATGACCGATTGTACTTCTACTACTGCGAAGATGCGCGAGGAGGACTTGATGCATGGCAGCGAAATCTATGTCGACAGGTTTGCCCCAGGTGTAGAGAGTAGCACGTTACGGCGCGTGCCCGATCGCATTCCATGGGTTGTGCTGCTCATCTTAATCGTTGAGCTGGGAGAACGATTTACCTATTTTGGCTTGAGTGCACCAATCCAGAATTACATTAAGTACGTCCGATCCTCCAAACCTCTCTAGCAATTCATAAGTTGCTACACACATGTAGTATGGTATGAGAACAAAGACAAGATGACTAAGTGCTTCCTTTAAGAAACCCGCATGACTCACACTCTGACCTTCCTGGCGCTTTGGGCCGCGGTCAGGCTGTCGCCACGGCCTTGGGCAACTTTTTCAAATTTTGGGCTTATGCTTCGACTGTTGTTGGCGCCATTGTCGCAGACCAGCATCTTGGCCGCTTCAAAACAATCGCCCTAGGATGCGGTGTTTATATTGTCGGTCTCGTGATCCTCGTTGCTACATCGACACCTGCTGGGATCCAATCTGGTGCCGGTTTTGGCGGGCTGGTTGCGGCCATGGTAGTAATTGGACTTGGCACAGGTAGTATCAAAGCAAATGTTACACCCATGTGCGCAGAGCAGTACAAGCCTGATGCGGCGTATACGAAGCGATTGGCCACTGGCGAGTGGGTAATAGTGGACCCTGAACTGACAGTTGAACGCATGTTCAACTGGTTTTATTGGGCGGTCAATGTGGGAGCGCTTTCGCCGTTGATTACGGTAAATGTCGAGGCCCATGTAGGATTTTGGGTCGCCTACTTGATCCCTTTAGTGTGAGTTGATTAGTTTCTTTTTTTTGGGAAAGTTGCTGACGTCTATAGGGTCATCGTTATTGCTGCAATGATCTTCATCTTCAGCAGCCGGCTCTTTGTACAAACACCGCCTCACGGCTCAGCGATCGTCGATGCTGCCCGCATCGTGGCTATTGCCATTAAGGAAGGTGGCTTCGAAAAGGCCAAGCCGAGTGCTCTGGAGGTACAGGGAACTCTTTCGCGCCATCCTTTTGCGCTGTCCCCCAAGTATACCGACAAATCTGTCAAAGAAGTGCAAATGGGTATCACTGCATGCAAGGTATGTTCGAATTTCAGCCCCTCACCGTATCTAACCAACATATTTGCAGTTCTTCCTTTTCCTTCCTTTGTACTTTGTCTGCTGGATCCAAATTTGGAACAATCTCATCTCACAAGCTGGAGACATGGCATTGCACGGTACACCGAACGACCTCTTACAAAACCTTGACCCCATCGCTTTGATCATCTTCATTCCACTACTAGACTGTGAGTACTATCAGCGAAGATATCTATCCCTTTCAATGAAAACATGCTAAAAATAAACCAAAGTTTTTATTTACCCTCTGCTTCGCAAGCACAAGATCAACTTCAGCCCAGTCCTAAGAATGACAGCTGGCTTTCTATTAGCGGCAATGGCCATGGCGTACGCAAGCGTGCTTCAACATTATATCTACAAGTCGCCAAGGACGAGTATTCACGTTTGGATCCAAGCTCCCGCTTACATTCTTGTGGCATTTTCCGAAGCTTTTGTTATCATCACTGGTCTGGAGTTGGCGTACACGAAGGCACCCACAAGGTATGTTACAAATGCTAGGATGCAATTTGTCGCCTGTACTAACGTAACACGGTCTTCGCTCTCTTGTTTCCTCCTTATTCTGGTTGACAATTGGCATCGCTGCCGCAATCTGCATTGCCCTTGCACCCGTGTCGCAGGACCCGTATATGGTATGGATGTACGGCTCTCTCGCCATTGTCGGCTTTATCGCAGGTTGTGCCTTATATGTTTGCTTCCGAAACTCTTTCCAGGAGGTGCCAGTCATCGTAGGCGCTGAAGCAATGAATGAGATGGGTGTGAGCAAGTTCACTGCAGATGCAGGGAAACTTGCTATCGAGGAGGGGAACAAGCGTGCCAAGTAGTTGAAATGCCATGTTTGCTCATGCCAGATCTTCCAATTTCGGCTTCCATCCATATTACTTTTATCTATCTACAGCTGGTCTTCGAATTGTTCCTGTCGAACACTCGTGTTTCCTACCATTTCGTTTCTCATAAAAACGTTATTTAGACCTTTCCAGAAAATTGAATCGATGCGTAGTAACGCGAATCTGAGGATTTCAAGAGATTTCGATTGAAGCCGGACAGATCTTCGGGCATGGTCAAGAAGGGCCCGGCATTCTTGTGCCTCTTCAGGACTATCTGCTGTCACGTGGAGCAAAAGGGCAAGATTGCACAATGTCGACCAGCCCAGCGTGCACCCTGAGTCGCAAAATTAGCAAAAAAAGGACTTTCCAATCGCCTCCAGTTACATACAGAAAGGCCAAAATCCATGAACCCAGCTGCTCTTTAAATTCGACGTAAACGCTACAAAGCTAGCAATGCATCCTTTCGCTCCGGCTCGTGCCAATCGATATGCTTCAAGCTCCCTTTGCTCATCTGTCGGATTAGGGGGCACCGTACCGTATCTCAAAGCATTGAAAGGCCTGAGTATAGCGCGAAAGAGAAGTACTTTGACAAAATGGCCGCCGAGAAGCAATGGGCCTGATGAATTGATGTCCTCGTCGTGTGAATCAGACTGACTGTCGACAGCAGCACTATTCCAGCGATTGAGTTCCTCCATTAGGCCCTGCGTCTTCCTTAATGTGTCTTCATAGTCTCCTGCAAGAGTTTGAACCGCTTTGAGAGTGCTACCGATATCAGTATCGTATTTGCTGTTAGGGGCCGTCTGAGGACATTACAAAAGTGTTTTCAGAGTCATTTGTAAAATATTTGTAAGCTCATACATAGAAATGAAGTTCGCGGGAAATAGTGTTTTTCTTTCTTGTTCCGAAAAATCATCCCTACATGGTGGCGGAACGAGCCAATCGTCATCATGTATCAGGCAGCTCCGGCCCAAGACAGCAGCATGCCAGACGTCAATCATCTTGACAGTCCACGACAGCCGCTTTCTCAGCCCTACCTCGGCAGATGATACGCTCCAAGAGGTGGGATTGAAGTGCAAGCCCAGCGTCTGTGAAACAGTCACCATGGTACCAACAAGCGACCACTTTGTCGCATAATCCGGCATGAGCGGCTTATGTGGAGGCGAAATCAGCAGCAGGACCAACGTTTGTAGCGTGGAAAAGTCTGGCTTATGCAGTTCCTGATGCAATACGTTCAATGCAAGATTCCATAGTTTTTCTGCATCGGGAAGATCGTATGCTATCTGAACGGAGAGATAATCGTCAAAGCCAGCAAATGGTAGTGTGACTAGATATATTGCGGCAAGAGTACAAGGATTTGATCGCTCGGGCTGTGTTGATTGCGCTGGAAGAAGAATTGGAAAATGAGGGGACACGAATCGAAAGAATCTGGATTCGTTAGCTTGGCTAGACGGAAGTATGATTGACTTTGGTCTTTCGTACAAAGAGATCAACCTGACACCCACATCCGGACTCACAAGCTTCTCTAGCTGTTTGCGAAGAGAATGATTGTGCTGGTCACACCCCTCCGCCGCATCTGTAACATTGGAGACTAGGAGTTGGACTGGATGGATATCCTGCCTTACTGAACGAACAGCCAGTCGCTTGAAAACAAAATCGCTATCCGGTCCAAAATTATATCTTTGCAAAAGGTATGGATCCATATCCCCTGTTAGACCACAGACCATGCTAGTCGTCTGGGGTCCTAGTGTCGACGGCGAAGGAAGTGGCAGAGAGTCCATGGAAACATCGTTCGGTGGAGGGTTAATGTGATTGAAGTTTTGTATATTCATGTCAATCATAGCTTGGTCAACCCAAAGGTTGGCTAATGGATCTGGTGATTCGCCTGGCCAAAGGAAGCCTTGTTGGTCGAAGAAAGCACTGTTCGAATTCAGAACGTTGCTTTGCTGGCTTGCGGCTTCTAGACTGGCTAGCTCTTCAGTAGGTGTGCTCAGGGCGACATGTGTCGCAGTTGCTGCAGACGCGCGTGTATTTTTGGGTACGGCCTCAAACGTGCACTCGCGCCCCGAGAGATGACATAGCCGGCATGGAGGTCCAGAGTCGATGCGGCATGCACTTTTGCGCGCTCTGCAACTATCACATGCTCGCTGCGACTTGCTCATATATCTTCGCATGTTTTCGCTCATGAAGAAGAATGAGAGGTCGCTACTCAATGGCGTTATCTGCTGGCAAGCTAAGATAAGGCTAACTCATCCTTTGCCGAGGCGTAAGCTTAAGGGCCTGTTCGGTTCCGCGTTTTGCGTCTGCGTTTTTGGTGCCTATTGTGGTATAGCGCTTATCTCGTGGTTATAGCAAGGGATCCTAGCTAGTATAGCGTTTTGACTTTTCCGAATTAAGATAAAATATAGAGGGGCGGTTTAGCTAGAGTTTTAGTGTTTTAATTCTCTATAACTTTATTATTTTAGATAACCTATATTAGAGTAAACTTACTATTAAAATAACGTTCTAATATACTAAGTTAATATTATAAAGCTTCGCGTAGTAGTCGCTTTCTATAGCCTAGCTACTAGAGTCTACTTAGATAAGCTAGTCGTCGATATAGCCGCCAGTATCGTCGTCGTCGTCGCCGCCCGCTAGTATCTAGCGGGCTTAGAGTCTTATATAGACGATAGAAATAGAGAGTATATTATTAATATCACTCTTAGAGGCTAGAGAGGAGCTTAGATAGCGGGTAGATAGTAGCTAGAAAAAATTAGCGCTAGAGAAGGCTAAACAGGACGTACAATTAGTCGCGGGCTAGTTAGTAGTAACTCTATAAGCTATTAAAAATAAAATTAAAAACTAGAAAAAAAACTAGAAGATATAGAAGTACTTTACCTTATAGTCTAGATTTAGTATAGATAAGAGTAGCTTAGTAACTAGTAATCTAGACGTACTAGAAGCGTATTTTATAGCTTATCTAGAGGCCTAAAAGTTTAAGTTAAAAGGCCTTACTTTTACGGAGGAGCTAAACTAATTATTTAGAGGTATACTTATAATAGGAGGCAACTATAACGGCATAGGCAAGAAGAATCGGATTCGTTTCGGACGTGAGGTCACTTAGAGGTATATTATTATTCCATTATAGTCCTGTATCAGCCGTTGGCTATGTAGGACTTTGGCCAAAGGCCGTTCTATCTAACTAGTTACAATTTGGTACGTTGTGCTGTATTGCGTGACTATGGTGCTTCGGCCTGTATCTAGCTAAGCTAT